CGACAATAGGCTGCTCTGTCATAATAAAAGATAAGGTTAATTGTGTTTATAAAGATAAAGTTAATTGTATTATAAACCTTTTGTGAAAATAAAATTTTTATTTGTTCTTTTGTTTCATAAAAATGTTTTTTACTCGTTCCTTTGTTTTCCGAAATTTGCTTAAGAATTATTAAATTTTGCCGCTATTTTACATATATTTATAATAATCTCAAGTAATTTAAAGACCAGATTTTTAGTTAAATAGCTTAAATGACATTATAAAATACACGTGATGCATTTCTTTAAATTTGAACTTAGACTTTTAAATGAAGCATAAGACATAAAACAATTAAAAGTCTAACGAGCCGTATGTCAAATTTTGTGTTCATCACATTCAAATTAATAAAAGCTTCTATATTTATCGAAAAAACAGATTTTAAACTTGAAATTTTTACCTTTGATATGTTTTTAGACATACAACTGGTTAGAAATTGAATATATGACTCAAAACTAATTTTTTTTTAAACTAATTTTTTTTTACCTTTGATATGTTTTTAGACATACAACTGGTTAGAAATTGAATATATGACTCAAAACTTATTTGAAAATGTTGTTTTCTTTAGTTAATTCTTTATCTTCGTATAGCATCAACATGATTTTATACCAAAAAATGATACTTTAGCTATAAAGCAAAATTTTATACCTGAACTCGAATAATTTAAAAAGATTTTAACATTATTTAATTTTAGACAAACGAAATGACTAAAATTTTAAAAAATTTTGTTTTTTTATTTTTTAGTTGTGCTAAAAAAATTCAGTTAAACATAGCCTTTTTACTAAAACCAAAAATTCGTTTATTTTCCAGAACATGCATTAACTGCGTTGTGATATTAAAGCCTATAAACTGACCGTTTTGGAAGATTCCAATCCCAGAATAAAAAATGAATTTTTGAAAAAAGTTAAAAATTTTTATAAAATTTGCTATGAATATATTAAAGAATAGATAATGAACTTTAGAGCATTGAACTGTTTCAAATGGACCCTTCTAAATAGTAATTAAAATGGAAATAAGTTTCTTCAGCAGTCGAATTTGTAATGAAGGAAGTAAAAGATATTGTTATTAATGACAATTTTTTCTTTGAAGAAATTCGAAGAGTAAATTTATATTTAAATGAAGAAAAATTGAAGAAATGGAACGCACAGTGGGCCAAAATTCACTTTTACTGGACAAAATTCATAACTAATTTAATATTAGGGCTATAATCACTAAAATTAGCACGAGTACTAATATGATGTCTGCACTTTTTATGAAGGTGTTTTTTTTCATTTTGTTGCTATGGATACCTTTATTTTGCTTAGCAACAACCTATTTTTGGTATTTGCAGATATTTTACGAGTGCTATATTCACTAAATTTGGCATGAGTACTAATATGATGAGTGCATTTTTTATGAAGGTGCTATTTTTTTATTTTGTTGCTATGGATAATTATATTGCTTAGTTACAATATCCTTAGTTACAATGGGGTAAACAAAATGTCGTTATAACATCGTTAATTTGTAGCAATAAAAATATAGTAAACAGATAAGCAGAAAAAATGAAAACAGAAACACAATTCAAGTAACATTGCAGTAAAAATGTAATAATATAATATATTTACACAAAATCTTTAAGTGGTACTTCTTTTAGTAGCTCTAGCACTCCATCTACAAAGTCTTTCTTCTTTGGATGATGTGGTGTTCTCAAATTACTAATAATTGGATCAGATGAACACTTCAATATCCTTAACAAGTCTTCATTTGTTTTAGAACGGGAGCACTTTCTTAAAAAAGACTCCCGGAACTTCTTGAAGTCCTTGTTACGTGCTTCTTGTGCCTCTGCACTGAGCATGCCAATTGGCAAAGCCATTCGATTCACAACTTGCCAACCATGAATAAGAATTCGGTGCAGGCTCTGTGGCATGTGGTACCATGGATACTGGTTCACATATCGTTCAGCTGTTTGCATGCAGTCTCTAAATCGAGAAGAATCAATAACATATTGTGACGATAAAGTGCACAAAATAACATGCAACATCTTAATGATGATGACATCAAGTTGGAGAATTTCAGCAGTCTTCTCTGCATTTTGAAAAAATTGTCGAGCAGTATTGCCAGTGTTTGAAGATTCTGAACCACAAGTCCTTGGAAAATCAATTAAAAGCCCAACTTCATCACGAAGTTTCTTTTAAATTGATGTCTTTCTATCTTGAATTATTTTTTTTCTGATGGTTTTCGTGTTGATCATTTCTGTATTGTTAACTTCTAGCTTATTTTGAGAAGGCATTCCATAGTTCTGATCCATGGATGGAGAGTTGAAAGCCCATAATTAAGCCCAGTTTTAGTAATTGGGAGATTTTTGCAGTATTTAAGTATTTAATTTTTTTTTGTATTGCAACCACAAACTGAGCAGCATTGCGATGATTTTGTTGCTGTGGATAGTGCTGTGGCAGCTTTCCCATCCACCATTGTAGTTTCAATTTTGTGCAGAACTGTTAATTTGTAGTAAAACTTTGTAGTAAATAATTTTTTAAAAAAGTTGTAAAGGAATGGCTCTTCTTCTTTTAATGTTTCTTTTTTATAGGAGAATCTTATTGGTCTGCAAAATAAAGTGGATGATGGATGAGGGTTGGACCTAATAATTTTCTTTTCGCCATTACAATATCCAGATAACTGCAAAGGCACAAAGCAAGTGAGGAATAAGCTGGCTTTTTTTGTAATATTTCTGTTTTCTTCTTCTGTTGTTATTTGAGTATAAAGGCTTCGCCATCAAAGCCAACTTTGGACCTTAGGGTCATTCGTTTAAGATCTTCTAAGAAGTTAATAACTTTTGCCTGACATTCTATTAAACGTAGTGCTGTATGATTGACTAATGCTTGCATGTTGACCTCTGCAGAATAGTCAGTGACAGTCCATAGGTTATTCTCTGGAAGACAAAGTACTTTTGCTTCCCGTACATTATTATAAGCTGGATATAAATTACAGCCTTTCTTACAGCATTGTTCCTTAGGCGCTGATAATCAGACTTGCTCAGGTTATTATCTAAGATGAGTGCTAAGGCTGGCTCATTAATAGTATTTTGAACATGTTCATCAGTTTGAGTTTTTGATAAATTTCTAACTACCTTAGCATGCTTTCTCCTTCCTTGTTTCCAAAGTTTGCAACTGCTAGCAAACAACAGCTCGTACAAAATATTTTTTGTACTATTCTCAACAAGACTTATATTTATCAATAAATTTTAAATTCCATTGTAAAATATTTTAGCGCTCAAAAATTATGACCATATAAAAATTGTAACCCCCTCGAATTGAGGGGGATTCAAACTTTACATGGTCATAATTTTTGAACGTTGAAATATTTTACAATAAAATTTAAAATTTATGGATAAATATAAGTCTTGTTGAGAATAGTACAAAAAATATTTTATCAACTTGTTGCTCTCACGTTTGGGGCAGGTACGTCTCAAATTTCGGGGGTTTTTTGTTCCCAGGCTCCAATCACCGCAATTTTTTGCAAACCATCCTTATTTGATATAAGTATAAACATATAAATGTTAGGAGTTTGCTCCATGTCTGGAAGTTAGCTATCTCAAACACCAAAAAATGCTGGATCCGCCCCTGAATATTTTTGCAAATCATTGCAAATAAAAATTAATTTAGCAAATATTAGCACCTAAATTAAACATATTTTCATAATATGGATATAAAAGCTTCAAAATATGTAAATAAAATAACAGGATACTACAAGATCTTCTATTTTTTGTATTTTTTAAACCAAAAAATACACTTCAAATATTCTTTTAATGAAGTATTTAAAATTATTATAACTTATTTGTTTTCTTACCTATTTTAATCTAACAACTCTTAAAATGCAGAAAATAGACAGTTCAACAATAAAATAATTTTCAATGCGCAATATTTAATACAGCGTTACATTATTACCATTGATTTTGTAAACAACATTTTTTGCTTTATTTTTTTTTTTTTTTTCTAATTTACGTTTGCATATACTTTAACCACATAATTAGTCTATTCATTACAACTTTAGATGTATATAAAAGGTTTTAAATTGTTTCATAATATCTATAAAAAAGTTTAAAACCATTACGACATCAAAATTCTGACTTTGATTTTTATACTTTTGTCCAGTCAGTGGCCCACTGTGGAACGGTGAGAAAACAGAACTTGACAAAAAAATGGGTAGAAATCTTTTGGCATTTTAGAGTAGAACTTATTCCACAAAAGTTTTAATAGAAATTTCTTTATGTTGTCCAGGCACTAATGCTGCTGTTGAAAGGGTATTTTCACTAAGGAATGATTATTAGAGCAGTGAGAAGTTGCAACTTTCTGTAAAATCATTATCTGCCGTCTTAACAGTCAAATTTAATATGCAAAATGAAAGTTGTTCGGATGTGGCTACATTATTAGACAAACATCCTTATTTAGCAAAAAAATCCACTCTGAAGAAAAATATGTTTTTAAAAGAAAATAAAGTTTTTATTCGTTTTTTCTTCTTTTTTTTTTTACCTATAAAATACTTGGAAGGTGTACTTTTTTTGAACAAAAAATAGTTGGTCCCCTTAAGATAATTAAAAATGGAATTAGATTTTTGAGCACCGGTTTTTAAACAAATCTTTAAAAATCCAATTTGGGTCCCCTAATATTGTAAGTCCTAATATATATATATATATATATATATATATATATACATATATATATATATATATATATATATATATATATATATATATATATATATATATATATATATATATATATATATATATATATATATATATATATATATATATATATATATATATACAGGCCCGCCCAGAGCTTTTGTAATGACCGGGTCCAAAAGTTTAATGGATGCCCTATCATACTTCAGGTCTTAAAATAGCAAATAAATTAATATAGTTTACTTTCATAAAAAACCTAAAATCACATTTAATTTTGGTTTGCAAGAACAAACTATGATAAAATCAATTCTTAATTGACAAACACATCTTCCGGGCCTTCTTAGCAGCAAAATTTGAAATAACTTCTTCATAATTAACGTTAATGGCTAAATCTGATTCGATTGAAAGGATCATCAAGTAGCACAATCGCTCCTGGCCCATTGTGGAACGAAGATAATCTTTGATGATAGCTAACTTGCTGAAAGATCTTTCTCCTTCAGATGTTGAAACGGGCAATGTTAGAAAGATTCTAAGAGAAACACACACTTGCGGAAATATTGAATGCAGCCCCTTTGCATAAACTTCATTTAGAAGTTCGACAGGCTTTTCGCTGGCTACAATATTTCTTCTTACGGAAAAAAAATGCCGAAATTCATCAGAAAATTTGTTTTTACATAAGTCTTCTGGGTAAAGTTTAGCCAGATTCTCAGCTTTTAAACCTAGTTCTTGGTCTGTTTGAGATTTCTGTAAAGACCAAAGAAAGAAAAACCTGCTACATTTCTCCTCTATTACTTTAAATCTCGATCTCATTTGACTAGCCAGATTGTCGAGTGCAACATTGAAGACATTACACTCAAAGTTTTTTGATACTTCTTCGTGGTTGTAACCAGCGGTTTCATCTGAGATGATTTTTTTTCGCGTTCTCTTCACAGTTAACATTATTTTATCAAATTTCAAGTTCTTTGCAACTTCTGTTGCCTCTATCAAAATCAGGTCCCAAGGCAGACGGATTCGATCCAGATCCATCAAAAGGCCAATTAGAATCTTTACTTCATCATCGAGAGTGAGTTGAGTGGATTGAAGCAGAAGACTCACGTTGTTAACTGCCATCAAACATTTAAACCAAAAAGTAGTGAAAACAACAAATTCAAAAGAATTCATCCATTTAATGAGATAATGCACTTCATTACTACTTTAGCCCGGAAGGTCCAACTCTTTCAGACGATGTAATAATTTCAAGATCTCTCTTGGCTTTTTTGCTAGTGGCTCAACTGATTCAATCCTTGAACTCCATCGTGTAACAGAAAGTTTATGCAATGATTGTATAGCCCCTGAACATTCCCAAAACAGGATTTTGCAGGAGCCGATGATTCAATAGCGTGTACTGCACATAAGTTCAAACTGTGAGCAGAGCAAGGAATGAAAATTGCTTGTGGATTATTCTGTCTTATCAAAGCTTGAACTCCATTGTAAATACCTGCCATATTAGCGCCGTTGTCGTAGCCTTAACCACGACAATTTTTTATGTCGAGCTCATTCTCTTCCAACACATTCAATATTAACTTTGTTATATCAGATCCCTTCTTCTTTTCAAGTTCTTCTAGCTTAAGGAATTTTTCTTTGACCTCCCACAGCTGATTATCATTGAAATGCAAAAAACGAAAAACAAAAGTAATTTGCTCGCTGTGGGACGAATCGGGAGTGCTGTCCGTGATGATGGTGAAATATATTGATTTTTTGATTTCTCGAATAACTTCTCGAACCACTAATTTGCCGCATTCCTTGATAAATTCATTTTGTAATTTCCAAGATAAATAATGAGCTTGCATGCGTTTTTCTTCTTCTTGGTGCTTAGCAATAAGATGCATATGATCTTGTAATGTTTTGTTGTGGCGAGCAATTAATTCGAGCGCTCCAAGGAAGTTTCCATTCCCATTTTTGAGCAACTTTTGATTGGATCCTAATTACAAACAAAAAATAATCAAAATAGTAATCCATATTTATATCCAATTAAAACTTGTAATTTTGATTTTTAAATTACAAATAAAATAATGCAAAATATACTTTAAAATTTAAAAACAATATTCTTACCCCTAAAAGCTAAGTTTCTTGAAGCTAGAAAAATTGTGACGTCAAGAATGCATTGTAAAATTACTTTCCATCGCTTTGTTTCATCTCCAATTTGTTTTTCTAACTGATGCTCAATGGACTTTTGACTTTTCAAGTGAATCGTAGCTGTTTTCCATTGGAGATAACAGTTACGGTGAAAATCGCTTTGTTGATGACTTTTAACGCGATCTGAAAGTTTTCTCCAATTTCCATGTATACCTCCATTCCAAGACAACAAACTGGATTGAGCACCGAGTCTGGTTAAGTTAGGTGATCCAAAAAGGGAGCAAGGGAAACAAAAGAGTGATGCCACAGCCTTACTCCAAACGAGCCAATCTCTTTTAACTTTTTCTCCGTTTCTTTGTTCCTCTAAAAAGATATAAGTAGGGAATTTGCGTTCTTTTTGATCTCTTGGAAAATTGCTAGGATTTGAAGAAGATCCCATCAGAATTATATTCGTTCGATCAGTGTCTGATATTGATTTCCATAGTGCAGGATCGTTAGAGATTGGTATAGAAAGATCACTTTTATAAATTTGTTGGTCATTGTGACAATCAAGTACAAAATCCAACTGATCCTTTTTTAAATGTGATGATGTTTTTTGGGAGTCATCGATGTCATTGGCAAGAAAAAGTTTGTCGGAATTATGGTCTGGCAACTCATTAGAGTCATTGATACCGATCTCAATATCATTGAACTATAAAGAAGTATTAAACAGAATTATTCTAATTATTTTTTCATGAACGTCACAAGATTAAAAAATAGTTTAAATACCTGCTTGCATTTATCTTCGATTTTTGTCCAACGAACGTAATCTAAAAGCGTTCGTTTGTTTTTGCTTTCGTTTTTTTCCGAACCATCGCTCTTTTTCTCCCAGCAGCTCCAGACAGCTGTTTCAATCGTGGAGGTCTTTGATTATTCATGCTAAAACTTATGACGATATAAAGAATTTTAACTTTTTAAATTTTAAAAATTAAAAACTTTATAATACTTTGGTGTTATTAATTGCAGAGAAAAAGTCAGTACTTACAATTAAAATATCCACTGAAGATAAGTTTCTTGTCAAAATATAGTCGGAACAAAATGCAGGCGAGTCAAAAACATACATATGCACAAAAGTATCCACAGGGGCGCAAGGTTTAAGCAAAAATAAGTTAAACTATCAGAAGTCAGGCTTTTACAAACGTTAAATAAGAAAAAAAAAATTTTAACGCTTTTTATTTTATCATGCGAACAAAAGGCCAATGAAAACTCGTGCGTTCAAATGGATAATGAAAACCTTGTAAAGTAATAATTATCCTATTTTAAATGCAAACAAAGTTTAAAAGGAGAAAGAAATTAATACACAAAAATTGCTTAATCTTTAAATACGTTATCAGCTAAATTTTTTATCATTTCAATAATTTTTTTTTAAGGCATGTGATGCCCCACAGACTATGATGCCCGGGGCAAACTACTTCAATTGCCCCCCCCCCTCTTGGCGGCCCTGTATATATATATATATATATATATATATATATATATATATATATATATATATATATATATATATATATATATATATATATATATATATATATATATATATATATATATATATACAGGGGCTTTTCTAGACCGTTTTCGACATTGTCGACCGTATTTGGGTGCCGCCCAAATCAAAATTTGAGGACATGGAAATTTATTCAGAAATGGTATTTAAAATTATTATTTTATTACTATTTGTAATTATACAAGAAAATTTATCTTCTGAATATATATACTATTGAATGATTATATGCACATTTCATAATGTTTTTGTACTCATTTAAGTAAAATGTAAATGTATTTTTGTGAAAATTATCTTTAGATTAAATTAGATACTCTGCTTTGGTCAGTTTTAATGGTATTTCTTACTTATAATTTTTTTTCTTATAATTAATTCAACTTTACATTAGCTGATTTTATTTTATTATAGTTTAAATAAGAAATGAAAACTAGTTTTCTTTTCGAGATTTTTTCTATGACAATGATGAGGATTCTGTTAAAGGTAAACTAAGTTTTTAACTTTAGATATGTTTTGATGATTTTTGAACTCTATATTCATATATATATATATATATATATATATATATATATATATATATATATATATATATATATATATATATATATATATATATATATATATATATATATATATACAGGGGCGGATACAGGTTGTAAAGATAGGGGGGCATAAATGGGGTGGGGTTTAAGGGGAGGGGATATCCCCCTCCCCTTCTGGGGTCTATAATCAGCCGCCAATGATTTTTAATGAAATGACAACCCAAAATGGACAGTTTCCAGTACCCTTTTCTAACTAGTTTTGTTAATATAACATTTGCAAAATCATTGTTTTTTTTCCAAGAATGAATAGCAAAAACACTTTCAATTCTCAACATTTATATATTGAATACACTTTTACATGTATTGTTGCAATTTCCAATTACAAAGCAAGAGTATGTTTTTTGATATTACAGAAATATGCTGTTAGTTTTATAGAGTGAATGTCTGTCTTTTATAGAGTGAATATCTGACCTGAGAATGGATCGACATAATTATAAATAAAAAATTAATCAAATTTTAGGGGAGGCACGAGCCGGCTGTGCCCCCCTCTAAATCCGCGCCTGATATATATAAAGATGTAATTCAAATACAGTCATGTGACATTGAAATGGAAACACTTTTGAAACTTGATTTTTTTAAGTTAAACAATATTTAACGATATTATTTATATAATTTATTATAATTATTTAAAGCAGTTAAGGGAAAAAAAGATTTATGTAAACAAAGCAATTTGACAAAAAAAATAATATTAAAGGACATATTTTATTGTTGGTACCACTTAGATATTCGTATAAAAGGATTAAGAATATATTATAAAACTAATCAATCAAAGTTTCAATAACCACCATTAGTAGAGTTAAAAATAACGTGGCGAGAATAAAAAGATAGTTTAAATGGCAAAAAAGCTGAACGTTGACATCGACAGTTACCAATTATTTCTGAGTTATGGAAAGTTTAAGACATATAAGTTAATTAAATGTTACATTGATAAATAATTTAATTTAAAAAAAGTTTCAAAAGGATGTGTACATGCATTATCACCTTGAGCAATCGAGAGAAGGTTTACAAGATCAAAATAACTTAACAGATTTATTAAGAAAAATTGGACGAAATTATTACAACTGATAAAAAACTATTCTACTTTACTGATTGTGATCAAAGCACTGAGAGTACCCTATTATAAAAAGAAAAATTTTCAAAAATCCATCATGGTATGGGTAGGAATTTGGGCAAAAAGATTAACATTTCTAATATTTGTCAAATCAGCACTTAAAATTAATTAAAGTAACTATATAGAGAGTATTGTAAACCATTTATTAAAAATGATAATAAAAAACTATACCTAAAAATGGCTTTTGTTTCCATCAAGACTCAACATCTAGTCACTCTTCAAAAATGACTATTAAATTTTCAACTGACCAAAAATCAAATTTATTCATTCTGAAATGTGGACACCAAACTCAACAGATAATGTACCTATGGACTTTTTTACATGGGGTTATATGTTAAATCAATTAAAAAAACGGAAAGCAAAAAGTATTTCAGGGTTTATTCAATAATATAAAATATATATGGAGGAACAACATTGAGCACTGATGCCCAGGTCTAAACATTGTAAACTTATATATAATAATAAAGGTCATCAAATTGAACATTTAAGAAGAAAAAAAAGTTAAGAAGAAAAAAAAATATTGCTTTTTTGAAAAAAAAAAAAAAGGATTCAAGATAGGTATTGTACTTTGGTTTTTAACATTTTTTAACTTAAGCATGGACAAAAAAAATAACTTTTTAATAATTTCATTGATTTCATATTTATTTTTTTAGTGATGGCAATGTACCAGATAGGTAAAAATTATTTTTTTTATAAATTATTAATTTTTTGTTATTCTACAATTATGTTTTATAATTTTTTTTAGCTTGCTTAAGGTTAGACCAAAGTATTTATCTTTATTAATAAATTGTAAATTTGATTTTTAAAATGGTTTTATATTAAATAAAAATAATAATTTGATAAATTAAGTTTTCATTATAGAACAGAAAAGAAAACTTGTGTTTTATTGTTAAGTTGTTGAGTTATTTTGCAAGTTAGTAATTAATTACTGGAATTTGATTTTAAAGAAGTTGTAAAGATTTTTATTTATTTAATAATATAAAAAAATCTAATTCTAAATTTGGATGTAAGGCCATATGACGCCAGCAATAGCATAAACAGGAAATTCGGTTATCACCATTACAATGACAAATAAACTGAGATTGGTTAAACTGCACTTTAAAACCTCTATTTAAATCATACTTCAATTTAAGTTTTTATTTTTTGTAGGTATTTATTTATTGCTCAAAAGAGTTTTTAGCTTTATTTAGAGTTTTTTGTTGCTTGGCCTTAGTTAAATCACTCGTATTGAGTAAAAACTTTAAGGTAACCATTGCACATAATGAGTGTTTTTTATAATTTGTTACTTTCTTAAGTATTAAAATCTTTCCTTACTCAAAAACTTTTTTTTTTCCGTTTTTATTTTAGATTTAGAGTTGACTCGAAATGGAAAAGAAAGGAAAGACTGTATTTTTGTGTATTTGGATTGATTTACTTATATTTATATTTATTATTTAACTAATATATATTACTTAAAGATAAGTTTCTAAGTATATCTATATTTTAAATGCACATAGAGATATGTAATATAATTATATTATCATGTGCTTGTATATACTTTATCAAAATTGTTAATAATTTTTTGAATGTGTTCATTACTTTACTAGTTTATTATTTATTTGTGTATTTGTTGTTGAAGTGAAATGTAAATCACGAAAAATTTAATATTTTTTATGTATATCAAAGAAAAATTTTTTTCAGAAAATATTTTCAAAAATATACAATCGATTTTATATATAAAATATTTGCTAGAAATAATTTGTATAAATTTTCATATGAACGAAATATAAACTGCAACATTACTTTTATTTACAGAAACTATCCGGCAGCTGAGTTGCTACAACAATTCCGTTGTTTAACGGTTTGATTTAAACAAAAGTATCCGTTTATTTACGGAAAATTTCCGGCAGCTGTGATGACCAAAACTCTCGCTGTTTAACGGAAAAAACCCATTGTATTTTAACAGAAAAAACAACCATTTTAATAAATTCTCTTTATTTCAATAGTTTTTAAAAAAGAGATAATTATTAAAATCTTTGTTTTGAGTTAACGATAAATGTTTAATACTTCATAACTTCTACTAATTTCTAAAAAAAAAAAAAAACGGGGACGGTGGTTATTTTTTTTCTTTAATAACCCGACGGGCATTTGTTTTTAAAAGTTACGTTCTAAATGTGTTTTAAATGTCTTTTAAACGTCTTTTAAAC